AAGGACGGGTTATTCCTCGCATAAGGGCAAAGAGAAGCCCCAAGAGATTAGCAGGCCCAGAACGAAGCAGCCCCCACTGGAGCCGGAGGGCAGAGCTCCAGCAGATTCCCCAGGAAGAACAACAACATAGAGATGTGTCTGACCTCTGGAGTTGCCATATTAGAGGCATTTTACAGACCTCTGAGAGAGGTAGGACAATTTAGCTAGACAGACAGCAAAAGAAAATTAACTCAACAAAACAGGCAATTACTAATTCCAAGAGAAAAACAAAAGTTGTACAAGAAAGGCAGACCTACTTAGCTGAATATGGAACAATGTTTACTTGGAGAGTTAAAACCTTCATTTAATATTGCAGGATGTTGGTTATATTAGGAGAAAATGAACATTACTATAAATACACAAGAAACAAGTAAGAGTTAATGTCACTGCCTCCAGGGAGCTAGAAGGGGTACAGGTGGGGGGTTGGGAGGTCTCTGGGTTTTGTTATGATTTTTTACTATTATTTAACTTTATAAACCCTGCACTTATTATTTTGGAGATATACAGATATTACTTAAGAGAAAACACTTCTACAGCAGCTGAGAGTACTCACCACTCTACCCAGAAAAGAAAATCAATGTTGCTCCAACAGTTTTAATATCACATGACAGGTACACTATTCCAAAGGACATTAGCTCTACACTTAAAAGATTTATGGTCTTTTAATGAGACCAAGACTTGGAAGAAAAGCAAGCAGATCTTCAGAAGCAGTCATATAATCTGGCCAGTGAGCACAGATTCAAACTCAACTGAACCACATCCCAACATAAACAAAGCCAAGGAACTTTTTTAGGTCTTCTAAAAATATGCAAGATGGCATTTGAAAAACTAATAAACCATTGTGTTCAGATAAGATTAACAAACGCACCCTTAAACAAAGGGAAATAATTTTATTAAAAATATTTTTAGTATCCATGGGCAGGTTATAGTCTAAAATTCACTTATGGCACATTTCAATTTAATTTTGACAGTATATTACAAACTTACTTCTATATGCAGGCATCAGTCTAGCCCAGAACTTCAAGGAAACTTTTTTTCTTAACCATCACACTTAATTATTCTTCCCTATTCAAAGGTATTTCAGACAAGAGACAGCAAACTCGAGGGAAAGAAAGCAACATCATTGGACTCAGATCTCAGTAAAGAACAGCCAGCGAAGAAGAGAAGAACCAGGATGCCGAAAGGGGAAAGTGCATTAGCTGTCTAAGTCTTTAGGAATCACAATGCCTCCTTTCGTTTACATTTCAGATAAGTGCCCTCACTTAAGCAGCCAGCACAGTGGCCTATAGCCTCCCCTCTTCTCCCTCAAATACAACAAACTCCTTCCCGCTCTGCCGTTGTTCTCCCCTTACACCACCCCCCACCGCAACCGCCACAGACCCGTCACCCCACCTCCGCCCCCAAGCAGACCCCCGCGGTGAGCCTCTGCAGAGGGCCGGCTGGCAGCCAGGCGGGTCTGGTCGGTAGGCAGCCCCAGCAGATCCGGAGGACGCTATGTCTTCCTCCCTCCCCGCCTGGCACCCACCTGTGCCAATAGCTGCCTCCACAGCAACCCTCCCTTCCCATTCTCCCTCTCCCTGGGATCTAGTAACACCATTTCCCCTTGTCCTCCCTGCTCTAGATGCAGTAATGGCTTTAAGCTGTGGCTAGCTCGTGCCAGCCATCTCACGACTTTAAGGCTGCCCATATCTCTAAGCAACTCTTCCATTAACTTCTTTTCAATTGAACCAGCTAGGGCAATTCTATTACCAGCCAGAACTCTGTTATCTCAAAGCCTTTTTGCACTTCATGTTCACTATATCTAACATGCTCAGCACTCAGCGCTTCACACACCGACCAGCTCCTGGAGATCAAGTGTCAGACTCCTATCACCCTCCTCAGAGGGGCTTCCCGGACCACAAATCAAGTACTAGCTCCCACCTCCAGCACCCACTTAGTCCCTTTCATTGTTACCATCTCTACTTCCTAGAAAGTGAGCCCCTAAAGGCAGGAACCTAACCACGCTGTCTTGTTCAGTTTTTACCCATTACACAGCAGAGTCTAATAAGGGCAGGAGTCCAAGACTTATGTGAAATGGCATAGTTCCAGGTCAAACCTGGAAAAAAAAGTTCTTCAAGTTTAACTCAAGTCCCAAGACACTCTCCAATTCTTATGCAGTATTATTCCCATAAGCAGGTAAAACTCATTTAAAATGAATGCAAATCTGTCTGGTGGAACATCATTTCTTAAGAGTATTCCTACCCACAACACTAGTTCACAACTGCTTCCTGTAGCAATCCAATGATTGATTATATTCCCACACAGTGTACATTCTCAGGGGCTATCAGATGATGGGGGCTATTAGAAGAATAACAGGTTCAGATGGTGTTCAATCCCCCAGAAGTAGTCTGATTTCTACTACTTTCAAGAAAGCAGTTGTGAATATGAGAATGAAGTTATTACACACTATCATAGGGATATTTGTGAATATACTTATTTTAAAATTAAGACCCATCAACCATGAGTAACAATTCCCTGCAATTCAGACTTAACTACCATAGCCTCATAACCCAAGAGTATAAATGTGGATGGAGGGGCTGCTCATCTGGAAAACATCTGACCTACTATAGATCAAAGAAGAAAGATGATGGGATTTCTCCAGTGGTTCAGTGGTTAAGAATGTGCCTTCCAATGCAGGGGACTTGGGTTTGCTTCCTGGTCAGGGAATGAGACCCCACACGCCGGGGGCTACTAAGCCTGTGTGCTCCAGGGCCCGTGAGCCACATCAGGAGAAGCCCCATATGCCACACTAAAGAACCAGTGCAGTCACAAACAATAAATGACTTTAAAAAAGAAATATTAGACAAACTGACCATTGATCCTTCAACAAAACAGGTTTAAACTGCATGGGTCTGCTTATACATGGATTTTTTTTTTTTTCCCAGTAAACACGTTCTATGGTATTATACAATCCCTGGTTGGTTGGTTCCTTAGATGTAGAACCGAGGATGCAAAAGGCCAATCATAAAGTTATACTGGGATTTTCAACTGCATACAGAGTGGACTCCCCCTAATTCTGCATTATTCAACAAGAGTCCCTGTTGATGTTAAGCTTTTCTAATGATCACTTCCACAAGAATTAAAGCTAGCAAATGCCCCAGTAATTTTAAATAGAACTTTACCTCTAGGTTAATATATTCAGTCAAACATCTTTTCATACACGGCTTCTATTTCCATATAAACATACTGAGAACTCCTGGACTGCAAACTTCAATAATGACATTTGACTTACTTTTAATTTTTATTAAAAATGAACAAGTTCAAGAGAACAATTTATATGCAACTACACAATGTTTTAAGCGGCTTTCCTATCCCTATTAAAGCTTTATATTTAAAATGTCTACATGATATGCGCTTCACAGGCTTGAGACTATCAGACTTCACCATATATGTGACGTTAGCAGCTTTATTGCACAACGATCCACATAACACTGCATATTTGTTTAGTTCAGCCTATGTCATAAAGTGCTATTCATAGGTGGGAAGGAACAAAGCTTACTAAACACTGAAACTCTCCATGATATTTCCTTCTTGGATCTGGGGGAAAAGGTAGTTATTTAGTGTTACCAACCTGAATAACAGATTTCCATTAATATATGTATATAACAACAACAACAAAGCCAGAGCCAAGAGTTTTGCTTAGTCAATTAAAATGTGTCAAAAGAATTTCGAAATGATTGACGCTAAATATACTTAACAGTCTAGTTTCTGAATACTCTAACTTTAAAAAAACTAACCAGTTTAAATAAAACCACCCAAGAAAGAGTATCTTTCAAAAATGAGGATAAAATTTAGATAAAATGTAATTCTTCAAAGAACTTTCGGCTTTTAAGAAGGGTATACACAGTCATTATGATTTCAGTTATTATTTCTAAACAAATCTATCCTTTTATTTCCTTATATAATAAATGCTTATTACCAATGAGCCACAGAAAATGCCATACAACTGACCAGATAGTTATTTCACATTTTATAATATATTTAATGACACTGAAAATATATTGTGAACTTTTCAAACATGTAAACATAAACCAGGACAATCTGATATGTAATATTTGTGTCCCTAAATTAAAATTACAAAACACAAAAAAACCAAAGAATGACATCATTATTGTCACTAGTATTTATGAAAAATAAATATTTTATATAAGCTCAAATATGCTCACAGAGTAAAAAGAAAAAAAATTGAAGAAAAAAATTTCCCAAGAAGTCATATGAAGTGAAAAGCTTCATGTGTTAGCCAAGAATCCTGTGTTTCCTGCAAGAAACCATGTTTCTTAACACATGCAAGTATGGGCATTACCAACCAAGAAAACTCTTTAAAATGTCCTTACAGTCTGTGGTCTCAGAAAAAAACAAACAGCAGTATTCATTTTCTAGGCAATATATTCTTAAATACATAATTTTCCATTTAAATATACTACTATTTCTATGGCCGTTTTCGTTTTATCTATCTATACCTTTGTTTTCCTATTAAAAACAAATGCACAACACCATGCTTAGTACTACTTTCTATCCATAAGGCATTCAAAAAATATCTTCTCTGAGGACATAAACATGATACAAAAATGAAAAACCAAACACAAAGCAAGAGTAATAAATACTTTTGTATCCCTTCCCCCCACCCCAAAACAAGGAATGTCTAAGTGTCAGCAACACAAGCTGATACACATAAATTAGATTTCCTGTGCATAAAAAAAGAGTCCAGTCACCCATCTCAGTGTGAACTAGGAAAGCACGTCTTCTCCCCGGCATTTGTGAAAGGCAGAAAGGCTGCTTAGGTTTTCTGTGTTTGAAGAAGAAACATTCACAAAAATAAGTGTGGTGACACAACACTTAGATGATATGTATTAGTTACAGAGGTTAACACCAAGGCATCACTCTGCTCACGTTTTCACCCTAGACCACACCAGATGCGCAGACTACATGCTCTCCTGGTAGCCAAGGTACTTGGCTGTGATGGACTCTTCGAGCTGGACTCCCCCGCTGCCCATCAGGGCAAAGGCCGGATACATGGCATGCGAGCAGTCCACCTGTCGCTCATACAGGCATCTCATGTGGTCCACGTCATAGAAGGCCACGCTGCCCTTATCACAGTCCAGGAGGACCCCTATGCTTGCTGGCATGGGAAGGACTCTGTTTTCAGGTTCATTAGAAGAAGTCGGTGACTTGGGAATGAAAAATTTCTTCATACCTATAGTGACTAACGTAAAGGGTTGTGAAGAATCAAAACAGGTGTCCTCACTTCCGCTGTCGTGCCCACTGTCCTGCTCGTATCTGAAACACAGAGAGACAGACAAAGCGGTCTTATCTGTATCATCACCCAGAGGCCTTCATTTTCACCAGATAATATACACGGAGTTAAATTAAGATCCATTGTAATTGCTTTTACATCAAAACCTTTCTGTTAAACCATAATCAATTAGAAACTAAGGACCACACAATGTCACTTAGAATTACACCAAGACTCAGACCCAAATTCTGTCATAACGTATCATCCATTTTTACCTATATATATATAAACAGATGAGAAGTTGTAAATAATTAGTAATTTTGGCCTATCAAAAATAAAGCAGGGGGAATGAAATAGAAGGGACTTGACAAATACTGAACATTTATAGCATAAAATCATATGTAAGAAAACAGAAACCAACACAGATCCCCTAATCCAAAGAATTTATCAGACTAAGTAAAATAAATGGGCACTACAAAATAAAGCAGGAGAAAAAAGCATGTTTCATTCTCCTGCTAAGAACTGTTACTTCCTGGTTGGGATTTTCTACATGGTTCTATGATGCAAGCAAGTATCATGAAGTTTTATTCTCCTCTGATTATAAAACAGTAACACCTTAAAGAAAATTTTGATACAAAGTTCCTTCCATTTTTTCCCTATGCAGTGTGCTTCTTATATTAGTACATCTGTGAACATACTACATCAACCATTTTATTCAGGTCTTTTCACTTCTAGTATTTCCCATGTTATAAACTTGTTTTAACACTTGTTAATAATTTACCAAGTAGACATGTCACTATATTTAATTAACTATTTCCATATTTCAATTTTCGCTATTATTTCAATTTCTCATCTTAGGGCAACAAGTTTTTCCTATCACTCAGATTGTTACTCTGGCATTTCTGGAGACATAAGTGATCAAAATGATCTGTCTGGACTAGTTCACACTACATCGTGTAACAAAACTAAACTGTACAGAACATTAGTCACTCTCAAGAAACTGAAATTTGCCATGGGAACATGTTTACCGTGATCAAATTTTTAACATACTTATCGGACGGTTTAAAGAAATTGTATCCATTTAGCACCAATTGTGGCAGAAGGCAATGGCACCCCACTCCAGTACTCTTGCCTGGAAAATCCCATGGATGGAGGAGCCTGGTAGGCTGCAGTCCATGGGGTCGCTAAGAGTCAGACACGACTGAGCAACTTCACTTTCACTTTTCACTTTCATGCATTGGAGAAGGAAATGGCAACCCACTCCAGTGTTCTTGCCTGGAGAATCCCAGGGATGGGGGAGCCTGGTGGGCTGCCATCTATGGAGTCGCACAGAGTCGGACACGACTGAAGCGACTTAGCAGCAGCAGCACCAATTGTGAAATATGGCATTTAGAGGCAAAGGGAATGGCAACCCACTCCGGTACTCTTGCCTGGAGAATCCCATGAAACAAGGAGTCTGGAGGGCTACAGTCCATGGGTCGCAAAGAGTCAGACATGACTGAGCGACTAAAATAAATAGAAAACATTATTTATGCAATTTTATTTATAATTAAGACAACTGATATGAAAGCCTTTGAATATTCTAAATTGTGAAGCTATACCATAATCAAGAGGTGTAGCCAAAAAAGACTTGTTTTCTCACAGCATTAGAATTTAACTGCTAAAGCTCATTAGTCACTGTGTGAATACAAGACGACGTGACATCTTTTCTTAGCCAGCCACATAAGCACAGCCAAAACATCTGAATCTAAGAAAGGCATACTCTAAATACTAAATACTCTAAATGCAGTCAGTAAATCCAAGTCCACTTTCAGGCTTGCCTTGCTAAACGAGGTTTACGTTTTACAGAATTAAAGAATTATCAAGATCAGATCAATAAAAGAACCTACCTTGGACTAACTGCGTCCCGGGGAGACCGGAGCCATTCTTGCAGTTTGTCACTGGAAGCGACGCCTGCTTTCACCAGGTACGAATACGGCTCCACACGGAAGGCCCAGAAGTGCTTCCCTTTAGTAATCCCAACATCTCCAATGATGTAGTCTAAGCTGGTGTAATAACCCACTTGGATCCGCTCCGCAGCAAGCAGGAGGTTAAATCCAGCTCTGCTTTCCACACGGTCTCTCTTCAAGTTCAGCAGGAGGTGTTCATTATTGTAGCCGCATTTTTCATCAAACAGGAAGCTGAAAACTGCAAACAGAGCTTAAAATTAGCCTGCAAATTATTTATTAGCATTTCTACACTCTATGGCTAAATTTAACAGGTTTTCAAGTAGAAATTACTAAAAAGAGATAGGAGGAAGGATGTTATTATACCCTACTCACAAACCAAAACCCCAACTTAGAAATGATTTCCAGCAAATTCTCTATACCTGAAAATTTTCAGAAATTTCAAAGTGGAAGAAACATTTTCAGTGTAGGAGAAATTTATGAATGTAGCTCCTTGGAATATATACAGCAAACCTAAACAGCTAAACACCTTATAACTACTGAATCTCTTCTTTTTCTATCCCTAAAATAAGGGGCTGTATATTTTCAAAAACATCCACGTGTTTTCTTAAAATTTATTTCAAATTTTATCTTTAAGTTAGTCACAGTCGTGTCCGACTCTGCAATTCCACGGACTTTGGCCTGTCTCACTCCTCTGTCCATGGAATTCTCCAGAAAAGAATGCTGGAGTGGGTTGCCATTTCCTTCTTCAGGGGCTATTCCTGACCTGGGGAACAAACCTAGGTCTCCTGCATTGCAGCCAGATTCTTTCCCAACCAGGCAACTAGGGAAGCCCAAATTTTATAAATACGGAAAATATTAGCAATTTTAATAAGGTCTTTTCCTTACCAGTCAAGATGGCAGACACAAGAAACCATGTTTTGCTTTAAAAAAAAAAAACAAAAAAAAACAGGCTTTGGGTTCAGAGACACCTGGGTTTGAATTCCTGGCTCAAACATTTAACTGGAGCTTAACCTAAACTTTAATTTCCTCAACTGCAGAATGGAGACACTACTCTCCTAAGCCTATCAACTTAAACCCATTAAGTCTAACATTGTTGGCGGCCAGCCCAGAAAGTGGAAACATCCCAAATGCCCGTCAACAGACAAATGCACAAAGAAAATGCGGTGTCAACTTCAAACTGGCACTTGCCATCTATCCCTGCAAGGATTAAAGCATGTGCTGCTGCAGCTGCTGGTTTTCAACACCCCTGAGAGTTCAGGGCGGAGAGCAGAAACGAGGCCCTCTGTGCAGCGGGTGGGCGGGGCGGGCAGACTGGTAGGGCTGTTCTATTTTCAGGAGCCTAGTTTATGAGCCCAGTTCTTGTTATCGCCTCCTATCTAAAAAAGCACTAAAATCCTTCACAGTGACGACTGCTCCTTGTGACTAGCAGAAAGTTTCTGAAAAAAAAATGTGCTCGATTGCACGGACTCTCCCTTCACCAAAACCACACATATACTGACCTTCCCCTCTGCCTCTTTGGAGCAGTTTCTCAGAGCTATCTGAGCGGCTGCTTTCCCAGACTGCAGTCCTCATTTTGCCCCCAGTAACACTCTCACATTAGGCTTTTTTTTTTCAAGTTGACAGTGGGATATACATACAATGGCATATACCATTCAACCTAAAAAAGTGAGGAAATTCTGATACGTGCCACAACATGGAAGAACCCTGAAAATAAGCCAGTCACAAAAGGATTATGCAAATCCATTCACACAGGAGGTACTCAGAATAGGCAGATTCATAGAGGCAGAGGCAGAGTAGAGGTTGCCAGACTCTGGAGGAAGGGTGAGTGGGGGCGTTACTGTGTAATGGATGCAGTATTGATTTGGAAAAATGAAAAAGTTCCAGAGACTATAATGATGGGTGCACAGAATGTACTTAATGCCATTGATGCATCCAGTTAGAAATAGCTAAAATGGCAAATTTTAACACTCAGTCACATCTGACTCTTTGCAATCCCACTGCCTGTAGCCCGCCAGGCTCCTCTGTCCATGAGGATTCTCCAGGCAAGAATACTGGAGTGGGTTGCCATATTGCTAACAAGCTAAAACCATTTTCCATGAGTGAGATCTGACCAGTCTTCCCGGTAATGCCTATTGTCCTGGCATGACAATTCACGCTTGCTTTCAATCTCAAATGTCTCCCAGTTTGCAAAATAAATTTAGATGGTCACCCTATTCATATGGCTTCTCCCAGAGAAACAGAAGACAGCTTTTAATGTTCCCCCTCCTCTACCCCCTCCACTTTGTCCATGAAAACAGCAGCTACTTTCAGGTTTCCTTTTTCTTCCGCTTTCAGTCAGACTAGAAAATAAAGTGGAAACAGCATAAACCACAAAATATGTACGTAATACTTGTAAATGCACCCTAAAACTCTCTTTTGGATATTATTAAAATTCAAGAAAAATGATTTTAGCCAACCTTATGCATTTGGTTGTTGTTGTTTTTTTTTCTTAATTAGCTACAATATACATGAAAAACAGAGGGAATAGCACACCCTGGACAAAACGGCAAGGGCAGAGTGCACAAAATATGGGTACATAAGCTACAAAAAATGGACAGGAGCAACGGGGTCTAAAAGCCAAATGAAGGACCATCTAACGCAAGGACCAACAGGGCAAAGTGATTCCTGGTCACCAGGATGAGCACAACTTTGCTTCTATACGTACCTTATCCATGGAAACACTGTAGTGACACCAACTAACCTGTAAGTCGTTCTCATTCTATAAAAATGTACAGGCCAGTTTAAGTATTATCAGTGGTTACCAAGTTGGACAGGAGAGGCAGTGCTGGGTAGAAGAAGCTTTTAGTATGGAGGGAAGGGGAAGGAGGACTATCCATGTGGCTTTAATATGTAACTTCCACCCCCATGGGCTGGTAATCACTGGGTTAGAAAAGCCAGATAAGTCAGAATTAGGTTAACTAAAATTATACTTCATGTTATTATACCAATAAATTTCTAAAATATCTACCCAGATCCTATGCTAATAGAGATCTCTATAAACTGATCAAAAAAATAGAATTATACTATTTAAAACTTGTAAGGTAGCATTTACACTATTTTAATTCCAAATTAATTACCCTACACATTCAAATGTCATGTTATTCTGTATCTGTTATCAGTTAGAAGTCTAATCCTATTCTCAGCCTGCATGGTGAAATTCAAGTAGTCATTCTATTTCTAAATCCTAGCTGGATATAGAATCCACTTTTCTAGAATCTTTTACAAATGAGAGGGGGCTTTAATGTAGGTCTGCACAGACACATGAGCAGGTTTATTTCTCATCATGGTCTCTTCCAACTGTGTGCTTTTCTTATTCCCAGCGTTCACGCTACCTGGAGCTGGAGGAGTATGAAGAACCAGTTCTCTGCTGCAAGGACTGCAGATGGAACCCTTGTAGGCTCTTACTCTGAAAGCATAGTTACAATTACTCTCAAGATCGGAAATGACTTTACTTGTGCCACACACTTCTATCTCATTCCAAGGCAACATTTCTTCATCTCGATTAATCTTGCGATATTCAAGGACATAGCTATCAGCTTTATCCTTTTCTGGATGGTGCCAACTTATCAAAGCATTGTTGTAAACTTTGCTTTGTTCCTCATTGATCTCTGGCACATCTACACCTGAAAAAAGTATAAAACAGAAAACAACATTAAACTACTATTTCAGAACCTTTATTTTTTCCTCAGTAAAAATGATTTATTGACAGAAACTAAAGGATTTATCTGTTGTCTAAGAACTTTCCATATTTATAATACGGTGTATAAGCAAAAGAATAATTCCTGCAAATACAACAACATGGATGGACCCTGAGGACAGGCTCAATGAAGCAAAGAGGACACAGAAAGACCAATACTGATGTCATGATTCCACTTATGTGAGGTGTCTACAACAGCCAAATTCATGACCTCAAAGACGGGAATGGTGGTTACCAGGGGCTGAGGGGCAGGCAGAAATGTGTACTTATTAATAGACAGGCATAAAGTTTCAGTTACACAAGATGAATAAGCTCTAGAGATCTGCTGTATGCCCTGTGACTATAGACAACAAAACCACATTCTATACCAAAAATTTTTAAGAGGGTGGATCTCAGGACAGGTTTTATCACAGTAAAATTTTAAAAGAAAAGTAATTTTAAAAAAAGAGATTTTTAAAGTGTATATTTATGTTTAAAACTGAAAGGGGAAAGAAGAATGAAAAATAAGACAAAATTAGTAAAACCATTTTAGCTTTCCATATTAATTCTAAAATGTCATAAAACAAAATTTTTGACCATATACCCTTCAATGCCCGTCTACTGAAATAACCCTGGACATGAAATTTCTAATTTCTGTCCTCTTTTAAGTTATTTCAGTAAGTGTTTTAAAATCTAAGTTTGGTTAGTATAATAATAAATGTCAGAATATTATATAATTTCCTTTCATATTATCTTTCTCAGAATTGCAAAGCAATTTAAAATGACTTTTTCTTGGCATTAACAAGCTACATATTTTTGTAAGAAAATCAGAAACTACATAAAACACACACACACACACACACACACAAATTAAGTAACTCAAAGATTATCACTACAATAATTTTGCTACAGTGGCATTCCACTGTACTGTTTTCAGAAACATGCTTCTAATTTTTCACTAAAACTACAATGATTAAAATTTCACAGCTAAATATTTGTGTGTATTCATAATCTTTTCCATAGAATAAACTCCAAACAGCTTAACTGCTTTGGTCATATGGTAAAAATAAGCTGTAATGGTTATACATGCACATGCACACATAAACAAACACACATTTATATCAAATCACAGAGAGACACATGAAATGAAAAGCAGAAGTCTCCCTTATCCTCCAGCTGTGTACGAGCAATGGACAGCATGTTTGTCTGTGTGTGTCTTTATGCAGCCAAGGGATCTAAAAAGTCATCCAAACTACATTCTAAAGTTAAAAAAAAAAAAAAACCATCATGACTGGCATGCCTCACCCTATACCTCTTCCTTTTCTTTTTTTAAAACCACAGCTTTGATTAAAAAAATAAATAAATAAATAAATAAATTTTAAAAAAAAAAAAGAAAAAAAAAAAAAAAAAAAACCACAGCTTACTAAAAAAAATGTTCATGCAGGAAACAGTGAGGAGAGCACGCCATGGGCGGAAGCTGGGTGACCACTGTACATCCTGGGCCACAGGTTTCCCTGGTTCTTCGTTACGTGGTGGCAGAGCCTGAGATTACCCAACCTCAATCTCCTCTTTCCAAAGACAGTTTTGGGACCCCCCTCCCACCCCCCCATCAGAGGAGGAAGGACCTTGTACTCCTAAGTAAACAAGCAATAACATATATATAAAAAACAATTCAAGTATATATTTTGGAAAAAGAGAATAGATAAGAAAGGTATATAGCCAATAGGAGATTCAGGCACTGATTGGAAGAGAAAGATGGTCATAGTAATGATCCTTCAGTGTTTAACTTTTTAACAAGACATATTTCCTTTGACTAAATACAGATCTACACATCTATATCTACACAATAGCTAAGCTTATTCTCTTCCAAGGGCTTCTCTTGTAGCTTAGCTGGTAAAGAATCCACCTGCAATGCAGGAGACCCAGGTTCGATCGCTGGGTCAGGAAGGTCCCCTGGAGAAGCGAGAGGCTCCCCACTCCAGTATTCTTGGGCTTCCCCGGTGGCTCAGATGGTAAAGAATCCGCCTGCAATGCGGGAGACCTGGGTTGAGAAGATCCCCTGGAGGAGGGCATGGCAACCCACTCTGTATTCTTGCCTGGAGAATCCCATGGACAGAGGAGCCCGGTGGGCCACAGACCATGGGGTCGCAAAGGGTCGGACACGACTGAGCGACTCAGGACACACACAGATACTTCCCCAAAGACTGTAACTGTTCACCATGACTAGAAGGGAAATCTGAAGGAGACGAACAAGGTGAGGAGAAGAAAGGGACGGACCGCCTCCCTACTGGTGAGCAGAACACAACACAAGCAGACATTAGGGACTGAACCATGTGCCCTAAAATGCACATGCTAAGGTTCTAGCCCCTAGTATTGACACCTCAGAATGTGCCTTGATTTGGAGAGAGGGCTTTTAAAGGAGTACCACAGTTAAAATCAGGTCACTAAGGTGGACCTAGTCAATACGACTGATATGACTGGAATCCTTATAAGATGAAATCTGGATGGAGATACGTATAGAGGGCAGACTGTGTGAGAACAAGAAGACGCCATCTGCACTTCAAGGAGAGAGGCGTCAGAAGAAACTGCCCTGCCCCACAGCTTCATCTCAGCCTTCTAGGCTCCAGAATCTAAGAAAACAAATTTCTGGGTTTAAATCACCCAATCAGTGGCGTTTCGTTTCAGCAGCCCTAGCAACTCATACAGCACGTAAACACTTAAACATCTTAGAGTCACCTTTAACCTGGAGATACCATTTCCAGGCTCCTGCCCTAGGGAAACTCGTACACAGGGACAGAGAAACACTGCAAAGATGTTTGATAGAGCTGTTTACAACAGATAAAAAACAGGAACAGACTGTCGCTCAGTAGGAAAGGTATTTATATAATGGAATATTAAAGCTAAAATACAGTTGTAAACCAGAACTTCATACATTAACAAATATTAATCCTAAACTTAATTTCTCAAAAAAGCAATTTGCCAAAAAAGACACATACAGTGTGATGCCATTCACACAATGTTTAAAAACATACAAACCAATAGAACCTAGCTTTGGGGCATAAAAACATGGTTATAAAAAAATAAATGGCATACAACTTTAGGATAGGAAGGTCTGGGCAACTGAGTTGCTGCTTTATAATATCAAGCTAAAGAGAATTTGTGTATATTCTGTTGTTGTTTAGTCGATAAGTCGAGTCCAACTAGTTGCAACCCCCATAACTGTAGCTCGCCAGGCTCCTCTGTCCATGGGATTTCCCAGGCAAGGAAACTGGAGTAGGTTGCCATTTCCTTCTCCAAGGGATCTTCCCAACCCAGGGATCAAATCTGCATCTCCTATACTGGCTGGCGGATTCTTTAGCACTGGACCATCAGGAAAGCCCATGTGTCATCTACACAGTGTGAATTCTAACCAAAAAAGCAAAGGTATGCTGATATTAAAACTTACCACTTGAGAAAAAAGATAATTCTCCAAGAAGTTCTGTTTGTTTACATGTGTTAACAACATAGTCTTCAAAAGAAGTTTGAGCCGCAGGTCTAAAGCTCTTCAGAGATTCTGTAGCTTTCTGTATTCTAGAGACAGATATAAAATGTTCTGTATAAAAATGATTCTTTAAAAAGGCAAATCAGACTAAATATCTGCAATGAGATTAACAAAAGAGAGCTTGACTCAACATATGCTTAAGAGTGAAGCAAGAGGTACTGCACACAACACAGCATTCTGAAGCCATCAGAGCTACAGCTGAAACTCGGAGCAGTGTTTAATGACGCTGCTAGAGAGACTGTCAGTTCAAAGCAAAATACCTGACGTGGAGCTGCTTTGCCGTCTGGACAAAGCAAGACTGGTCCGTCTCCTTCAGCACTTCCTGAGCGTACCCCACGAGCCCACTGTTCTCCAGCAGCCCCTGGTACTCTTCCATTTGAGTCTGAAACTTGTCTAATCTTAGTTTCTTAGAAGTATCAATTGCCTTCAAAACAGATGATTTCCTCTCTTCTAGGATTTCAAAGAGCTTTTCAAAATGTGTAATTGCATCTTCTTTAGCCCGCTCTCCATTACACTATTGTAAAACAAGCAAAGCATTAGCTCATCTGCTAAATCCAAATGTCTTTTCATGAAGGAGTCAAAATTCAGTGCAACAAACCCAAATCCTGGAAGGAAGAAGATTTTGTCTGACGCCTTGAAGCTGTCAGAACAATAGCCTGACACCAAATATACTTAGTGAGGGGTGATCAGCAACTTTCAGACATAGTTTGTAATTTTATAATAACTGTATTTCCTTAAGCTTTCAATCTCCAAAGTCCAGCAATAAACAATGTATTCAATGAAATAAAAAGCAATGTTCAATTTGTATATGAAGGAACTTAGGCAGAAATTATCTGATTTAACCGAGGACACAGGAAAAAAAAATTCTGCAGTTATCTATTCATTTCTAATTCAAGAAATTTTATTCTTTCTACCATATTCCAATTTTTAAAAAAGGTAAACCACAGATATAAAACTGAAAAAAATTACATTACTAAGATATAAAATTGTTAACTTTTCTCTTCAAATTAGTATTAGTGATATACTGGGTTGCCCAACAAGTTCATTTGGGTTTTTCTGTAATATCTTACGCAAAAATCCAAATGAGCCTTTCAGACAACCCAGCAACTATAAATAAATTGTAATTTAATTAATACTGATTTAATTACATGTTATGCAAATTAACTTCTTTATTCTTGTTTTTCTGTTCTGAAAACCAGGGATAAGAGAGACCATGTAGGCTTTTCTGAAGATTGAGAAAGATTATTTACTAATACATAAATGCATACCTCAAGGTCTCATATTTTCACTATATAACAGCTGTTCCACTACTTTGGCATAAAATGATCCTCTCTATAGTGCTTATGGAACATTCTGGATGTCCACAAAATCGGAGACTGCCTTGACTTTGGAGATAAGACTAGCAAAGCGCTCACAAGCACTCACACACTCACAGCAGCCAAGAGTAAAGAGTCTTCGAGAACACGCTTAAAAGCCGACAATGTATGGCACCAGTGCCCTGCACATTTCCCAGTGGCTTCTGGCCAACATTTATAATGAAAGGAGATTTTTTCCAGATTTCCTTCTCCTGTTGTCTAACACCAACAGCCAAGTTTTTAAAGGGGGGATGGGAGGAGAGAAAGAAGGTGATGACATTCTGGTAGTTTTCCAGTGACATATCACATTAAATTCAGAAATATCATTATACACAGGTAAAGAGGAGACTGTTTCCAGCAACGTATAATTATAGATAAAAAGACAGTGTCACAATCTTCACTGAGAATGGAGACAAATTTTCTAGTACAGTAGTCTCTTACTGATAACCCTACAAATACAACTTAAGTCAAAGGTACAAAAAACATTAAATAATTTCTCCAGGATCTCAAGGAGTCAGTGCCTACATGAATACTTAATGCCTGAATTCCTCAGTTTTCAAGCTACTGGATGACAAACTCAAAAATAAGCACTGGATTTCCTTATCTCAGCAGTGAAGGCAGGACTTCCCTGGTGGTACAGTAGATAAGAATCCGCCTGGCAATGCAGGGGACACGGGTTCGATCCCTGGTCTAGGAAGAATCCATATGCCGTGGGGGGACTACGCTCATGCGCCACAACTACGGAAGCCCACACGCCCTAGAGCCTGCGCTCCGCAACAAGAGGAGCCACTGCGATGGGAAGCCTCTGCACTGCACCCAAGAGGAGCCCGGCTCGCCGCAACTCGAGAAAGTCTGCACAGCAGTGAAGACCCAGCGCAGCCAAAAAATACGTTTTAAAAAATAAAGGCGAATGACTGAGAAAACTATGAAAGACAAACCTAAAATGACGACAGATACAATCTCTGAAGACCTACTGTCTAGGTGATGATGTGCTATGTGTTAGGGGATTACAGTAAACTGTGAAGAGTTTGTCAATCAGATACAAATATGAAAAACAAAACCCTACCTTTTAAATTACACATAAACCCAACTTACTTAGGATGGTGAAAGCAATCAGTGAACATGAGAAAATATTAAAAACTAAAGCAATACTGGTAATGTGCTATTCACCTAATTTTTCAATAATTTAACCCACTTTTAGAAAGTATTCGTTTTAATACGTCTCATGCTACTCAGAATATTTTTATATTTAATTTAAACTTTTCAAGGGATCAAGAGTAAACGACCTTCAATTTATTTCAAATAAAGAAAAGAAACAGGGATCAAAGTCAGTGAAGAATATTTAGAATTTTAAAATAACCTAATTCTATCCTCTTTTGCTATATTTTTAAAATGCTATCAATTTTTCCAATTTTTTACTGAAATATAATATGCAAAGAGAAAAATGTACACGTAAGTGTAAGGATCACAGAGTCTTTGTGAACACACCCATGTGACTAGCATTCAGATTAAGTAATACTGCCAGCATCCCAGAAGCTGCCCCATATACTCTTTCCAGGCACTGACCCTCCACCTCTTCAACAACTCCTACCCTGAACAACACAGCCTAGTTCCGCCTTTCTTAGCCTCACAGAGCAGGTACTCCTTGTGTCCGGCATCTTCCTTTCAATAACAGTGCAGGATTTATCTACATTATTGCCCACAGTTGTAGATAATTCATTCACCATTGCTATTTATATTCCACTGTTGATGGGCTTTTGAGCGCTTTCCATTTTGTGGCTATTAGAAATAATACAGCTACAAGCATTCTCATATTTTTTTTTTTGCAGCTATGAACATTCTAATACATATCTTTTGGGGAACATACAACAGGTATATATTTAAGAATATCTGGGAAATTTAAATAAACCTAGTCCTATTAACATACATTTTTCAAATGCAATTTGTTAGTTTTGTAAAAAAAAAAAAATAGATAATTTTGAAAGCCATTATTTTCCTCATGTTGCCACTTCCGAGACATATCTCAAAAAAAAAAAAAAGATAGGTCTCAAAAGTAGCAACATAAGGAAAATGTTTTCATGTGTGTTTCAGTATCATCTAATCACTACCTCTATCAGCACTGATCACACAGCATTCCATTCCTTACATTTGTTTTCCTAGTGCCAGAAAAGCAGGGGTGAAAATCTAACACAACTCTGTACTCCCAGCTCATAAAATACCCTTAGGATTTTATGAATGAGTAAACGAATATCTAGATGAATAAAGGAAAAATATGCAAACCTCACCTCTGAAATATAAAAAAAAGAAAAAAGAAAAATATCACGTACCTCTGTCTCTTTCATCAACAAGTCTAGCTCAGAAATTTGACTCTTCACCTGGCTCTCCTTGCCAATAAGGTAATCAATGTCTTTTGAAAGCTTCTCCTGTGAGAACAGATCAGAAACACAAGTAAGTAGGGGAGAAGCGTGACAACGGGCTTGCAGGGTTTTCTTTAACACAGCAGCCTCCTCTCTCAACTGCAGTGATTAGTGTCCTTAACCCAAGCTAAACAGTCACTGGCTTTAAGCACACAGGCCCAAAGACACAAGAGCAATTAGAAGCAGGTCACCTAAAAACAAGCAAAAAGAACAAGGTGGTGATGCTAAGACCAATCAAAAATTCCGAATCTACACACTACATTTTTGTTGTCTCATCATTACTCCCAGAATGATTCCTCACAAAGCTTCAAAGCAAACAGAAGAGTAGCAATCCAAATAGTTTTTCTTCCATTAGATTTTACAACACACTCATAAACACTCACACACCCCACACACAACAGGAAAAACAACAAAGAACCTTTCAAAATAATCTTCATGGTCCATCCCAGCCTAGATATTCATCAAACAGTCATAGAACACACAATAAAGAAAACGCAGATGTATACACAATAGGTGACTTTCACAGCTTACTGAATAACTTGTTTATAAAGCAGTCATTTGGGCATTGGTATAGTTTACCATGGAGACAGCCATAGGTTTTGCTGAGATCACTAGCACAGCCCACAGAACACAGTATGCCTAAAATATATTTTTAAACAAACAATAATACCCTGAAGCACCATGGGCTAAAAAACTGTGACAGACAACGTATTCTGAGTCTAAGCAAGACTAAGAAAATTCAGGAAACACCTCACAAGCTGTAGTCCTGACAGAAGATCTGGGCATTCCTGGTCATAACTGGGGACACCAAGGGTTGAAAAGGGTTATTAAGAAGCAGGGCAGAGAATTAAAGCTTTAGGAATTAAAGAAGTGAATCTCCTTCCTGTATCATCATCTTTTTTTTTTCCACTTAGACCATGTTACAGGGTAAGAGAAAGTGTACAGAAATCAAAATAACAGGTCTCTCTGGCAGGACCCACCTTTACAACTCTCTGGGACACCCAGGATCAGACCCAGTGAGTTTCCCTCATGGCTCACTAGAGGGACAGAGGAAAGGCCTGTTAGGTGGAGGAACAAGATTTCTGAGGAATCAAGGCAGGATGGGACCAAGAAGGAAACTGCAGGATGTTAAGGATCAGAAGAGACATTAAAATCTTGTATCTTAATACAGCATTTTACAGATGAGGAAACCAAAGCTGAACACAAACATCACGCATAAGAAGCTGAGCTAGAAACCTGATCATGCACACTAACCAGGCTGCCACCCGCAGAGAGGCACTGCCTCCGCACCAAGCTGCGAGGAAGAGGACAGCTCCTCCAGGACCCCACCCCTGTCTGCGGACCAAACCCACCGGGCCTGAGTGCTGGCACTCTTTTCAGCAAAGCAGCAAAGAAAGGAATTTGGACAATTAAACTGAATTGGACTTAGTTCCAAAACAGATGATGTTAGCAGGGCTAAACAGGCTAGAGGAGGGGAGAGGACAGAATTCAGAAACACGGTCCGAGGTCTGAGCAGTTCCAGTGAGCTGTGATGCTGAGAGCAAGTCTGCAGCCCACAGCAGCCTTTACCTGAGACGGCTCCAGTCTTCTGAGTCCCCTTAAACCTGGGCAGTCTGTGTTAAGACTAGATCTGTTTTAACCAAGAATCAGGGGTCCATTTATTCATAAGCCTCCAAAAAGTATATGCACCAGACACTGATCCTAGACACTCTACCCAGGAAGCTCATCTCATCTGGGGAGCAAGTTGAAATCCCTTAGTTCAACTAAGACCCCAGCTCTCCAGGAACTGATGAGAGGCTAAATTCTCGAGGACCCCACAGTTGCTCAAACCTAGCTTTGTTCTTAAATGCTGGTGAGTACCAATCTCCTGAGAGTCCATGAGGACACAGACGCCCAAGCTCCTTGAAGGAGGTCAAGACTGGCCTCCGTAACTTTACGAAGTGTCCCAGGAGACTCTGAGGCCCACCATGTGTGTAATCTCCCCCTGCAACACTCCAGCGAGCAAAACTGAAATGATGTCATAAACCTGTCACCTAGATCATGAAGCCCTCTGAAGTAAAACCTAAAACCAAGTTAAGAAGGACGATCTTAGGAGATCTTCTTGCTTTTTAGCCAACCTAAATCATTTTATCCTTACTAAAAAGTGAATAAACTGAAAACTGCATAGGGAGTCTATTTTTTCTAAAGTCTGAAACATAAATGAGAGAAATTAACAACAGAATGCAAAGGCTAACTTAGGTGTATATTATTGCCAAAGACTGATTCCAGGTAACAGAAAAAAAAATTTTTTTGGACAACTTGTGTAATATTCAACCAAAAAAGAAGCCAAAGGTAAAATTAGCAAACAGAGGTATTGCCACTGTGAGGCACAAGAGAGAAACAAAGACAGGATTTACTCCCTCACTTGAAACAACTAACAGAACAAATGGAACAGATCTCAAGACGCTGGACATCAAGAAACAAAAAGCAGTGACCTTGAGGGATGTGAAACAAGATGAGCCTATGGTGAAAGTGTTAGTCGCTCAGTCATGTCTGAGACTTTGCGACCCTATGGACTATAGCCCACCAGGCTCCTCTGTCCATAGGATTCTCCAGGCAAGAAAACTGGAGTGGGTTGCCATTTCCTTCTCCAGGGGATCTTCCTGACGCAGGGATGGAATCTGGGTCTCCTGCATTGCAAGAGGATTCTTTACTATCTGAGCCACAAGGGAATATGGTGATCCCAGCTTATTGTCTGGAGAAGACTTCCCAGACCTGATGCAGAGAATTCAATCTAGGCTCAGGATCTCCTGTGAGAAGGGGAAATAGAGCTGAGAGTCTGGGAAAGCCAGAGGTTATAGACTGTAACACCTAAGAGCAGATGGCCACAAAAAAAAGAACTCCAGAGATTTACCAAGGGCTCTCTTATTCACAAGAGCTCTGATCAATTCGTGTGTGTGACACAGGCTGGGGAAAATATCACCCAGAAGAATTGAAAGGAATAATTTCAGAGCTCACACAAGTTGAGAACAGTGCCTATTCCCCACCAGTCAGACTAAAAAAAAAACATTAAAACCCTCGAAATTCACAGGGCATTGCGAAGAGTAAACAAACAGCCTAACTTTAATAGTCAGATAAAATTAGCCCTAGACCAAAATGCTGTTCTGTCCTGCCTAACAAAGCTTAACACTAAGACCCAAAAGGAACAAATTGTTCCCAAGTAAATTAATCATGCACCAGAAGAATACTCTCAAAGAACTGTAGGAATACAAAAACATCCAGCGCTCAACAAGGTAAGCTTTGCAATACCCGGCAGCCAATCAAAAGTTGCCAGGCTTGCAAGGCAGGAGGGGAATCCAACTCAAAATGATGAGAAAAATCAGTCAAAATTGATCTACAAATGACACAGGTTAACAGAATTAGGTAAACAAAGGTGGACAATGGACAAAACCTGTAACCCACATGTTCAAGAGGCCAGGCTGAGCATGACAGATCCATAAAGCACAAAACATGAAACTGTAGGTAGATATGCAAACTAGATACAGGGCAAAAAACACATAATATATTGTTAAAGGAGACAATAATGTAAATGGGTGGTAGATTTATAAATGAATGAATTCCTTTTTAAAAAGGAAAAAAGAATGAAACAAAAAAACCCAAGTTTAAAAGTATTAAGAGGGCCATGTATAATGTTAACAGACAGCAAGTAACTCAGGTTTAGCCAGAACCCACAGAACAGACAAAAAAGTTATACCTATTCTACTGACAAGCAACAAGAATCAAGCGTCTTAAAAGAGCTATTACCCTTCAAAGCGTTGTCACGCCTGTAACCACACTCAAGGTCATGGCGCTGGGCTCACACAGTGATGGATCATGATGAAGGGTCCTCTGTCCCTCTCAGCACTCAGGCTTTAGAACTAGCACATTACAAGGACGAAGAACTGCCTGGTCACATATACTAACCACCTAATATTAGCAGATCATTAAGTAATGCTTCAGACTGTTAACTCATTTCAGTAAAACAGATCACACAATTTGCCATGATTTTATACAGGAAAAAAAAGTTAAAAGTCTAAAGTTATAAAGAATCAAAATTTAGCTCTAAAATAAGCTCTACCTTTAAGGTTTTGTAGGCACTGCTCATGGTGGTTACGCGGTGATTGGAATGATTACCACCCAACTTACAGAGATGACAGACTGGCCTCCTGCATAATTCACAGTACATGTTTATCCTCTCTGTTTCATGCTCTGGGCACATCAAAATCTATAGAATGAAGGATAAAAGTGGGATTAAGAGTCCTCATAGCTCATGTGGCGCTCAAAAGATGTCAAGTAATTGGATAAAGTACCAAAACACAAGGATTTGCATTATAAAATCACTAACAAGCCATTTAAAGTAATAAAAATGTAAAAAGAAATAAAAGCATTTGGTCCATTGTATGAAAATTCTCTACATTAGAACTGTTTTTCAATTTAAGGGTTCAAATGGCCAATTATGTAAATGTTATTTTCCCTAAACTCAGTGCTAAGAAGTTGAAAATTCCTTTCCTATCACACTTAAACAAGCTAAAAAGGTCCTCTGACCACAATGACTAGGCAATTATTCATGATTATGATAAATGTTTATAAAGTATTAAAACAAACAACTATGAGACCCTATAGCTTCATTATCCTCACAAGAAATCTGTTACTAAGGAACTTGGAACACTTCATAAGGTTCCAAATGTTTGCTTTTACATATTGGTTACCCACATACTGAACAAATTTAGAACTGTGCTTTCCTGATTTTAGTTTCTATCTTTTTATTTAATCCATAAACTATCATCATAGTTAAACGGAATTTTATATAATACAGCTGTTTTCATTTGGAAGAAAAGGATTGTTTTAATCAAAAAGCTGTTAATTATTCCAAAAGATAATATTTTAAGCAGCTACAACTGGTCTGATAGATTAGAAATATTTTTTTAATTCTAATACAAAAAGTCCTAATACTAATATGTAGCTCCAGGAAAAAAAATGGAAAAGATTTCAAATTTTTAAGCATATCCAGGTTCCTACATTCTCAAAGCCATTACAATTAGAATATAAAGCTTGGCTTCCTGCAAGGAATGCAAGAACTCAAAATTACAAGTAAATTACAAGTAAATATTCTATACGATAAAAGACACCTTTTTAAAATTTTACTATAGTGAATAACACTTGGAGGGAAAAAACATTTCTCCTCAATATAACTTATTCATATTTCTCTTATCAATCTCACATTTGTAAATAGAACAAGACTAATTTATACTAAAAATGGTCAATTTTCTGAAATTAACTCCTAAAAACTAAAGCCCAACATACTTAATAATTATAGGTTCCTTCATGATAGAATAGTACTAATCAATTTAATTAATATTTTAAAAGACACATCAAACACTAGGTTGAAGTCATAAATTTTTAAAAATCTATGACCTTGAGCATTTAAGAGGAGCTAAGGAATATAACAGAATTTTAAAGTATTTAATAAATCTGTTGCCACACTGGCATACTTTGAGACAGAAGTCATTTCAAAAAGCATGCGCACAGACTGTTTTTGTTTTAATCCACCAGTCCCACAGCATTTAATATGAAATGAGAAATATTCAGCTCAGTTTCAAGATAACTCTGAAGATTGGTTTTTTTTTTCCATTTTTCTATGGAAATGTCTTATGCTCAGTGTCTTATGTTTAAGAACATAAATAGAATTTATACTCACACAAGTTACTAGGTTTAGGGGAATGAGAACATCAATCAAAAGAATCAATTACATGTTTTAAATCTTTATAAATCAGAAAGCAGTATTAAGTGAAGATACCAAAAACACATTCTGCTTTTGAATCACATAGTAGGGCAAATTGCAATACATAGAATTCTTTTTTAAAAAAAAGAGTAAATTATTTATTTACCTGGAAGAATAATAAATCACAATGTATCCTTTATCTAGCTTCAACAATTACCAATTCAGAGACAACTTTGTTTCATATAAAACTTCATTCATGAAGTTCCTTTTTCATTATTACAGAAACTACCTGAATATTTAAGAAATGCAAATCCCACTTCAGATACTATATAACCATTATGTCATAAGCTTCAAACTATTAGGCTGTAATCACTCTTATTTATCCGTGGTACAATTAAGGTAACTAAAAATGTCAGAATGTTGCCCAACCACTCCTTTTATCATCACAAATATTCATGTGTTGTACATCATTGTGTTTTACTAGAGTGAACCATACTACTGCCTTCTAAGCTCTGGGGATGTTTAGCAACACACTAAATAACTCCAACTATAAGGCCTTAATTTCTCCTCTCAGCTTTTAAAATTATTTTCCTTCTGTCAGGTTCTAGACTTGGTATAATTTATCTCATCATATTGTTTACTACACTGCTGCTATTGCTAAGTCGTGTCTGACTCTGTGCGACCCCACAGACAGCAGCCCACCAGGCTCCCCCGTCCCTGGAATCCACTAACTTCACAGAAACTTCACTTACCTTGGGTCTAAAGTTCGTAGTTGGACCCACATACTCATGTTGTGCTTTTACGGTACCCCAAGGATGATAAATTTTGAAGCATTCATTGCAGTAGCTTGCACTGCAGTCCATGCAACTTTTTGTGGATTCTTGAGGTGGTGGCTTACAAAGGTCACACATAATGGCTGTGGCTGCCCTGGCTGCCTGCCGGTATCTTTCAACAATAGTTTCCAAAGTGAAATTTCGAAACAGACCATTGATTCCCCGCTCTCCAAGATCCACATCATGCTCACAGCCAGGGCAAGGAAAAGTGGTTGTCCTAGGGGTCAGTGAATTGCGCTTCCAGCCTGTGTAATTAATAAGTTCTTGTTCAGTTACATAGGTAGGAAAATGAATAGAATAAAAAAAAAAAGGTGTCATGTTTTGCAAAGATATGTATCTACATATATATTCCAAAAACATAATACTCAAAGTGGTACATATAAATCAGTTCATGTACTGGAAATTCTTTTTTTTTAATGGTTTTATATATAAAAGATAAGCCCAAGCTACTAAGTTATGAAATCAAAGATGAAAGAAATTATTCTATAGTAAATCCCATAAAAATACCATATTAAATCAGATATGTGGACAAAGCATACAATACTACACAGGATCAAGATCTTTTGAAAGTATACAATTATATAAAAATGGTTATTTTCATACATCATACCCAAAGGAATGTGGCTTGCATTTAAATGAAAATATCCTTGGCTGATTGATAGGAACTGAGTTTATACATAAAAGGACAGGAGCCCTTAACCCAGGCAGGGTCCATGGATGGACTCCAGGAAGATTCAAATAGTTTCGTAAACTCTTTGAAATTGCATGCAAAATTTTGCATCTATGTATCCATACATACTTTCTGGTTAAATAATCCATAGCACAAAAAAATAATTAAAAGAAATTTAAAATTTTTAAAAAGCAATCAAATCCATAGCTCTGATTCTCAGAAGAATACATGACAACAAAATTGTTAAGAAGCACCACAATAGTGTATCCCACTGTAGTATTGTTTTATCCAGAAAATTCAGTAGGCAAAATCATTAGTTAATTCAGTGCAATCTATAAAAGAGTGAAAAGCTTATTCATAGACCTAGAATCTTGACTTTAAGAGGAACCAACCATTTAATATCTTCTTATGACCTGAAAAAAAGAATCATTAAGATTGTTTAATTCAGTAAGCCAAAAGATACACCAAAAATACAAGTAACTTTACAACACACTAAATGACCTTTCCTCAGTAGTATCCTGATTTTAACAAATCAAGAAACCAAGGCATGACAGTCCTTACCCACAGGTTCGCAGGAATCTGGGGTGGTCTGTTTAACACAGGTGCATGCCTATCCTGTTTCCTCCTCTCCTGTATAAATCTAGTCCAAGCAGGTAGTCTTGGTTGCCCACAAAGTATAAACACAAACTGTTTTGGCTATAGCCTTCTTTCATACTACTATCCAATCCCAAAAGTGAAAATCACATTTAGAAAAGGTCTTTAAACAGCTGTATTAATATTGCCTAGGCAACATTACTATCAATGTCTGACGTATCACTACATAAATCACTACAGGTTAACATTTAGTGATCAGTCCATGGTATGAGACATTTGAAGTGATTTTACAACATGCAAAACAGCATTAGGCCCCAAAGCCACTTATGCCAACAAGCATGCAGCTTCATTATCTTAAATTTTAAATATCTTCAAAAAATGTAAAGACATTTTTAAACTTTACATTTAAAAATATACCCAAGAAAGCAGTCACATAAAAATGTGAAAATCCTATGTAAAATATATTCTTGTAATAATTCTAAAAACATGCAATATAGTATGAGATATTTCACACCACAGCAGGCACATAATAAAATAAGCAGCAGAACTATTTTTAAAACACATGCCAATGAAAATTTCATTTAGTGAAAAAACAAGCCAAATAATTCTGGAAGTGATACAGTGCAGTGGTCAAGTTTAAACAAATGGAAATTCATATTTAATTACATGCTTCCACACATGAACTAGGTGATAAAAATTAAAATGGATAACTAATCTTAACAGTCAATGTTTTAAAAAAATGAATTGTTGGTTTTGTGAATTGAAAGTTGTGTTCAATTAAGTAATGGGGAAAAAACAAAAGTAAATTATGCCAATAAAATCATGCTTTAACATGTACACTGGTGACACCCAGATTTTGACCCTCATGTTCAGAAATTTCAAAAACAAGTTTTATCCCTTTTCTGTAAACCTCTTTTGTTTTTATAATAAAAAACAAGGTGTAAGGCATCACACTGAACTTCTTAAACCAGACAAACAATTAAATCAATATATATTGGCTATTTTTCTAAACATCTTAAAAGCTCTCAAAATTTTTTATGAATACTAAAGAACTTTTATTTTGTCTCTTATCTTCTACCATCATTTTCATAAAAATAAACAATAAAATATACTTCGGGGCAATAAAGAAAACAAGATAAATCTAAGGATAGTCTGAGAAGTAAGCCAGATGGGAAAAAAATCAAGTCAGTAGAACTAAGAACAAAACAACAGAATCAATATTTCTCTATAACTCTGCTAATATAGTAACTATTAGCCAAGTGCAGCTATTTAAATTTACTTAAGATTTAATATTACCTCCAACTAATAAAAATAAATGGGAAAAAAAATTTAATATAAAACTCAATTCCTTAGTAGTAGTACCCACATTTTAAACTGTCAAAAGACATTTTTGGTTACCATCTTGTATGGCACAGGGTCAAACATTTCTATGATTATACAAAGGTCTATGGACAGTACTACTCAAAAGCATGGTATAATGGGGGGGAGTAATGACATCTTAGAAAGGTAAAGAAGCAAAATAGGCCAAGCGATACAATTTTCCAAGTCAAACTCCATTCATGGGGTCAATGATATTTGCTAATTATCTCAACTGTCATTTCATAGAATCAACACTTTCCCCCTATACCTTTAACTTCACAGACAGATTAAACCAGTTAAGCATAAACCATGACACAGTCATAAAAATGAAGAATCCAAAATTATTTCAAACTGGTTTATAGCAAATCCTCCCCCAAAAGTCATCTTTCCATCACATGTTTTCCCTTTTAAATGATAAAAAATAGTAATAAAGCATTTCAAAATAGAGTATTTCAAAACAAAAGTTCATCACAAATTCCCAACCTATTCCAACTGCATATCTTCTGCCATATTCTGGCTGCAAACTTCCACACTGTTACTACCTGGCCATGTGGTAGACTGCATCTCCTCACGTTGACATCACGCTGCCTCCTGGTGCCGCAGAGCGGCTGCCACCTCATGCACCACCTTAATGCAGCCACATCCTGACCATCTGATGCCTATGAGTTACATTATAGGCCCTTTGAGTACTGGATTTTCAAACTGCAAAACCTTTTTCTCGACTACCCTCTGAATCAAAAGTGGGTAATGAGCAATTATTTTTTTAAGCAAACTGTTCCTGCCTTTCCTCCTAATTACTAGATTTCAACACTTCAAATTCTCAGGGACTCACTAAAGCCTATAAGAGAATGGATTACGTGTAGCTTCTAGAAGTGGCTTAAGATTTTAAAATTGAGGCATGTAGAAGGTGGTGAGGAAAACAGAAAAGGGTAACATTTCAGGTGTTTATTTTCTCCACCAAAATTTAAGGTATCACCAGCATTTTCCCTCAAAAAAAGTAGCCAATTTTACTTTAAAGGTCAACTGGAATAAAAAAAGAAACTATTTTAATACGATGAGTGGGCCCACCTTTCACACAAAAGCAATGTACATTATTTATTCATGAATGAGCAAGACCCAAATGTTAAAACTCAAGATTCCAAATACTTTAAAATATTAACAAAAAATACACCATATGCACAAACAAGCTAAGATTTATGGTATTAACTACCAAATTATAAAGTGAAAGAAAGTGAAGTCAGTCACGTCCGACTCTCTGTGACCCCATGAACTGTATGTAGCGCACCAGGCTCCTCTGTCCATGGGATTCTCCAGGCAAGAGCACTGGAGTGGGTTGCCATGTCCTTCTCCAGGGGATCTTCCCAACCCAGGGATTGAAGCCGGGTCTCCCACATTGTAGGCAGAGGCTTTACCCTCTGAGCCACCAGGGAAGTTATCAATACCTTTAAGCAAATTAAGGTGCTGGCTTATTTAACCTTCCCATGGTAGCAATATGGCTGTTAATTTAAGCTTTGCTCCATTAAGTAAATGTTAAGCATTTTTAAGGGAACATTAAAAAAAACAATAACAAGGGGATGCTTTTCCTTTAAAAATATCCCATCATGGATACACATACGTGTGTGTGCATATACAACAAAATGCAAGCACTAATAATCAGAACTTCCTTTAAAAACATCAGAACTTGCTTGAAAATTTAGTCCTGTTGACCTTTAAGTCATGTCAGCCCAATTTGTTCACTTTTCTACATGATTTTGAAGACTTGACCACTGATGATGATTTTTTTAATTTATCTCTATAAAGTTATTTAATTTAAATCCAACACTATACTGCCTGCGGCCACACAAGCAATAAAGCATTTTCTACCTCTCCACCCCAAAGATCTCCGTTGTGATGCTGCGAACAATGAACAGAAAGCTGGATTTAGAATTGAATTTCAAAGAGAAGAGTCACAACATGTTAACAAAAGATAAAGCAGTAACTGTGTCCTACACATAACACAATTATTGAATTGCCAGTAAAAAATGTGTTTCTCCTGGTACACGTGGCATTTATACAAAGCCACCAATGTAAAGCATTCATCGAAATTATTTTACCACAGTTCAGAATTAAACACTGTTCGTGCAGCAATTAAGAGCCTATACTTTATCCTGTAGATCTGTGTTTTTAAACAATCACACATTTGTGTTTTTAAACAGTTACTTATGGTAACTGTTGAAAATACAAAGTCAAAATAAAGTATCTTTGCTTGTTTTAAGTGACCGAAATCAGCACAGTAAATAAATATTGCTAACACTGATTGTATCTTAATGACAACAGACAAATGGGACATGAGAACAAAATGGGAGAAAAATCTTGTGTGTATATATATATGTATATATGACCAAAAATGAACAGTTATACAGCTCTTTTAGATTTTACAACTTAACACGCTAATGTTATATACACAAGTCTTGCTCTCCTTTCAAGGTATCCTTTTATTTTAAAATCAGTCAAATGAACGATGCAATGCAATTTGAAAGAAATACATGTGAAAGCCAGATGTCATTTTACATTTTCCAATGTGTGTGCACTCAGTCGTGTCCGACTCTCTGCGACCCCATGGACTGTACCCCGCCAGGCTCCTCTGTCCATGGGATTTTCCAGGCAAGGATAGTGGAGTGGGTTGCCATTTCCTCCTCCATTTTCCAATAGCCACATTAAAAAGTAAAAATAAACAAGTGAAGCTAATTTTAGAAATACATATTTAGTAATACAATATATTCAAAAATTATCATTTCAAAATGTAATCAATATAAAATTATTAGATATTTATGTTCATTTCTTCCTTCTAAGAGTTTCAAGTGTATCCCTCCATTCAGACTAATGTGTTTCACATGCTCAACAGTCATATGTGGCTAGTACACTGGACAGATCTGGAACGTCTGCTGCGAAGATGCCTAGGGCACCACTACTCTTTCATGAGACAGCCCTCATATTCTGCAGTCACACCCTTCTCCCAGCTAAATGTTCTTATTTCCTTTACATCATTCTCCAGAGAGCAGCTTTCTAACTTGCCCCTGTCAGGACACAGTTTGGCTTAAAAGGGTTCTTCCTAAAGAAGAGGGAAGAACATATCTAGTAAATCTATTTCTGATCTCTTGTCCTGGAAAAAAATGCCGTTTTCAACGAAGATAAGCCATTATGGCATGATCTGTACAAATCTCATAGCAGATGTTTGCCAGTCAACATCCACGCAACAAATATTTATTGAATGGCTACCAACTGCTGGAAACAAATAGTTAACTACTTTTCATTCATATTTGATACTGATCCCATAAAAACCAACCAAGTCTTAAGATTAAAAGCCTAAACATAATAAAGAATTTCATGAAATACACATGTGAGCTCAATCTAAAGATCAGTAAAAATACTAGTATTTAACTAGAATCTCATTTAATGGACTATGCTGAACATTAATACACAAAAAGTGAATCTTGTTCGTTAATCAAGCCAGGGTCCCTAATTTTTCCCTAAGAATCTACTAACAGAAGATGAACTTTTATCTGGTAGAGGGGTTTCAAGCTATCACCGTCTTTCCTAGCCTCCCCAGTACACCAGCCTCCTCTCAGGAGGAAAACATGAAAGTGATGATGTCACAAAGAGCAAAACCCTCCCGACCCTCATGCACCCTGCACCTCCCCGTTACCTAAAGCTCCCTTTTATGTGTATACACACCACTTTGATGTGCATAAAGTGTCCTCCAAGCAACTGGTGATTACCACTTAAAGAAAAATTCATGGATTTAAAATACCACAGTACCACTCTTAGAACTGATCTCCTCTTATCCACTCTCTAATGGAACACACAGACACAAATACTGCCCAAGGAGATCCATAACATAGCACAACCAAAAAATGACGACATTCTCTAAAACGCAAATGAGGAGGAAAAGATCCTTTTCTGATTTAAAAAAAGTGTTTTGTTGTCGGGGTTTTTTTTGCAATATTAAAAAGTTACTCCTAAACGAAAGAGAGAGAAATAGAGTGGACAAAGGATGAGACTGGAAACTTCAAAGCCCAAACTGGACAGAGCTGAAGCCTTGAGATCTGCTGCTCGTGACCACTAAAGGACTCTGCTCAACAGGAAGGAAGTGCTGAGCGTAGGGCTGTGGCATTTCTATCCAGACCTCTGCTTCCCCTTGACCCTCACTGCTCATTCTGGCCCTTAATTTTCCAATGGCCTTCTTCCCGGTGATTTCAAATCAATTTTGGTCTACATTAATCCCACAACAGATGTTCAGAAGAAAAAAATACCATCCCAATAGTGTTGGAGAAGACTTGAGAGTCCCATGGACTGCAAGGAGATCAAACCAGTCCATCCTAAAGAAAATCAGTCCTGAATATTCACTGGAAGGACTGATGCTGAAGCTGAAGCTCCAATATTTCATCCACCTTATACAAAGAACTGACCCCTTGGAAAAGACCCTGATGCTGGGAAAGACTGAAGGTGGAAGGAGAAGGGGACAACAGAGGATGAGATGGTTGGATGGCATCACCGACTCGATGGACAGGAGTTTGAGTAAGCTCCCGGAGTTGGTGATGGACAGGAAGGCCTGGCATGCTGCGGTTCATGGGGTCACAAAGAGTTGAAAACGACTGAGCAACTGAACTGAACTGAGATCTACTTCTATAAACTACTACAGAATTCCACTACTGTTTAGCTCATGTTCAAAATCGCTATTTGAAAATCTGGATCAAAAAAATGGCTGAAGAATAAAATGTAGTAGAATGATATCAAATAACATTCCTCTAAAAGGCTTCTGGGACTAGGCATTATGTAGTCTCATCCTTTAACTTTGCATATTTATTTACCTATTACCAAACATAGAAGAGTCCCTAGTAAGTACTTCAGTAGTCCATTATTTCAACCCTCCTGTAAAGGACATCACAGGCTGAGAACATGCCCTAAAATACAGACACAGTTAACAATGGGTTTAACACAAAGCTGGTGTTCAACATCCAATATTCACTTTAAATGAATATCAAAACACAATTAAAAGTTCATTCTGACAGAGATTCTTTTATAAGTACAGTTTTAATTTATTCACCTGGAAAGATTAACCCCCAAAATGACGAAATTTCCCTTCTACAATTATCTCTGAACATATAAACAAGCTCCATCACCTGGTTCTACCACATACCTGGTCTGCTAATTCTGTCAATTTTATCCATGCTAGGGGAGGGAAGCCGAAGTCGAGGACTGCTCTGATTGGAGTTGTCAGACCCCACATCATTGAATGAATCATCAAGCATCAGTAAGAGCTCCTTCACGCATTTATGACAGATGCTATGCTGACAAGGGAGAATCAACGGGTGGGTGAACAGCTCCTTGCATGCCGGGCAAATGAGCTCTCTTTCGATATTCTTAATGGTAACCTTAATGAGAAGCAGAAATCAGAATAAAAGGCTTTTAGTGTGTAAATACGTTAACTTGCTTATACCCCATGTATAAATACATATATAATTACTACCGAAAAGAATTAAAGATTTTTTAAAATCTGAAGTTTCTTTTTGGCTAGGAAAGTCTACACCATTATTTATCCACCCCCTCATCATTGCATGGCCTAGAAGTGAACGGACATGAGATGGTAAAAATATACTTGAAATATGACAAAAATCAACATAAAATATTTGCCAGCCATAATACTTCACCTTTAGCGAAATTCTGAGAGCAGATTACTTTAATAAAAATTAAGAATACAGCACCAAAAAAAAAAAAGAATACAGTACAAGAACAGGATTATTCCTATTTAGCACATTAGCTCTGTAACTGACAATTAACAGGAGCTGTTAAAAACTGGGCTAGCCATTATGTTCCTGGACCCTATTTGAAATCTACTTACAAGCTGAATTATCAGCAATTTTCTACATTAAATGTGACCATTTTCCACATGCTGCAACTGTAATGTATGTAAAATACTTGAGGTTCTCAGGCTGCATACCAAAGCAGTTATCTTGAAAGCACTTTATGAATACTAAAAGGGTAGCAAGGATTACAAAGAACCACTATAAGTGCTCTCAATGGTACAAGCTTGCAATACTTTCAATGAGAAACACTTAGACTCATCACAACTATAAAGGTCTAATAACCTCATACCAGCTTCCCATCCTTTGCCTGTGCAGTTTTCCCTCCATGGATCCCAAGCTTCAGGTGCTATGAATCTATATTTAGCATCCTTACAATTGTAAGGATGGTACAATGCTAGTCAACCATTTCAACTACTAGAAACACACAGAAAATTAAAACTGAATTAATTCACTTCTTCTAGTTAAATAAAAATGTTTGTGAGTCTATTCCCCTTAAAATGATACCCAGTGAGTTAATAATCCCTGACGACAGCACTTCAGCCAACGGGCTTTATCACTGTCAGTGAGTCGTGCAATGCAGCGGTTCTTGCTGCATCACTCAATAAATTATTTAGTAAAAGCCCGCATCACGTCACAGTTGTAGAAAATCAGGAAGATATCCACACTTCACAATTCACATCAAAGAATACAGAATATTTACATCCTATCTCATTTCATAAAGAACTTGACATCTAATTCAAAGGGAAATATTGTCTTCAAAGTCCAAAACAGATTCTCACACCCCACTTTATGGGAGGTTTACCTCTCCCTGGAAGATCTAAAATCATTTCCACTCTTCTTCTACACAGAGCAGTGTACAAACTTTCTAATCACGATGGATATAAAGCAATTCTTACGCAAAAGAAAAACGAGTGTTCATTTTACATGCATTGAAGGGAAGCAATCTGATTATGGGAAATGTGGTGTGGTGGCTCCCCCAATTAAGCCAATTCAAAATAAATGAGGTTCGACGGAAAACCAACAAGTTGAGAACTGCACTGCACACCCGACTCCCTGAAACAAAAGCATTCGAACCCCGACAGCTGCCGGAGCAAGCCCGCCCCGCGCGGGCAGGCAAAGCCGGGGAGGAGCCTGCGCCCACGGAGACCGCGGGCCGGGCTTGCGGGGGTCCGAGGAGGACTCGAGCGCCGGCCCCGCCACGCTCCGGGAAAAAGGGCGGCGGTGCGGGCGCCCGGGGCCGCGGCGGGCCCCGAGTCCTTAAGGCGAATTAGGCAGTCGGAAGGCCACCGGATAGCCCCGCCCCAACTCCCCGAGGCTCTCAGGTGGGCCACCGCCGCGCCCGAGGGGCGCCCCCTTCCGGGCCTGGGTGACCCCGACTCTGACCCTCCCCTCCCAGGGGCAGACAGGGGGCGCCCGGGATTGCGGAACCGACCCAGGGCGCGGAAGGCGAAGAGGAAGCGGGGCCGCCGCACGCCCGCCCCCGCTCCTCAGGAGGAGAGGCTCGCTCCCGGCTCAGGGCAGCGGGGACCGAGCGCGCGGAGCCCCGGCGCGCCGCCCTCCGGGCTGAGGCAGCCGCCCTCGCCCCTACCCACCAGCGAGTCTGAACCGTCCCCCTCCATGGCAGCCTCCCGCCAGATGTCATCAACGGCAGGGCCCCAGCAGGCAGACGCGCGGCCCCCGGGAGGCTCTAGCGAGCGGGTCTCTGCGGCGGCCGCCGAGCCTCGGTTCGGAGCCGGAGGGCGAGGTGGTCAGCCAGCCCCGGCCAGCGGACCGACGCGGGCAGGAGGCGGCCAGGGCGGACGACAGCACAGGCGCGGAGAGCCGAGCTCTGCTCCTGCGACGGCCCCGGGAATCGCGGCTCACGGCCGGCTGCGGCGGCGGCTCCTGCGGACTGCGGCGGGGCGGGCGGCCGCGCGGAGACCCGGGCGGGCGCCGCGGAGGGCGGGGCGGGGCGGGGCGGCGGCGTCGCCCGGGCGACAGCGCCCACCGCACAAAGCGGGCGGGAGGCCCGCGGCAGCGCGGCGGGCGGGGTGTGGCCCGCGCCGGAATCCCCGCGCTTCCCCGCCTCCCCGCGCTTCCCCGCCGCCCCGCGCGCCAGCCCGAGTCGCGGCCCCGGCCCGCTTCCCCGCCGCCCCTCGCGCCCGCCCGAGCCGCGGCCGAAGCCCCCTGACGGGTTCAAGAGCCTCGGAGGGGCGGAAGCGAAGGCGGGGAAGGGGCGGCGGAGGGCGGGGCCGGGGTGGAGCGGCCCGGCGGCGCCGCAGCCGCCTGCATCCTAGGCCGCTTCTCCGCGCCAACCCTCGGCTCTGCCTTCGGATGTCCGCGCCTTCGCCACAGCGCGCCTCGAACATCACAGACGAGCACCACTGCCTGACTCTAGACGGGGCGGCGGGGGGAGGCCGAGCCCAGGCCTCCTTCCCCGTGTTGTCGCACGGGCGACCAGGGAAAGAGCCGGCTCACACCGCCCCTACCCGGGCCGGGGGTTTCCCCGAGTGGGCCCTGCCCCCGCCCCGCACCCCTCCTCTTCGGCCCGCTGCGCAGGGCGAGCTGTACGTTCCCTGGCTGCTCACCAAGCACTCATGCTCAGCCTCTGCTTTTACACACCAGGACGCGGCGCCGTCACGCACGGCACGTTCTTGCCAAGTGGCGCTTAGACGGGCCGCAGGGTAGGGGTCCCTCTCCCTGCGTACTGGCCAGGAATTAGAGGCAGCCTCCCTACGCGGCCTAGGGTGTGCGTCCCGTCACCCTCTGCGGGTCCCTGCCAGCTAGCCCCGGCACGGAGGATGCGGGGAAAGGGGGCCAGGTAGTCCTGAACTGCTCCAGCACCCACGCACCCAGCCTGTGGTCAGGCCCCGCTTCTCCAGCTCGGAGACTAGCTGCGCAAAATTCACCTGCTGAAGTCCAAGCGCGTTTCCCCCAGTTTTCAAGACAAATCGAAAACAAATGAACCTGGGGTTGTTGAAAGCCGTCTTGTTAGATCACGCCCCTGCCCTTCCAGCGGGCTAAATAATTCCATTCTCTTACGTATAGACTGAGAAAACAGGCGCTCGAGACAAACAGCTGGGCGAGGGAACCGCAGAGCTGTAGCGCGGAATCCCGATTGGGTTTTGACACGCTTCCCACTTTTATTTCCTATCGGGACAAGTCTTTCGCTGTGACCAGTTCCGCCGTCTTCCCACAGCACTGTAGGCAGAAGTAGCCTCTTCTCCAGCCGGCGATTAAATGACGGTGTTGCAGGTTACAACGGAGAACAGCAAGTGACCATAGCGATGGTCTGTAATGGAATGCCTTCAGTTTACAGATAAGGTCCAAAGAGGATGAACACCTCACCGAGTAATGCCTGGACTATTCCGATCCCGGTTAATGCCTGGTTGCGTGGCTTTACAGGCTGGAGTTGAGGCTGCTTGCTCCCCACGGGGTCTGAAGCGCCCTAATCCGGGGGAACTGAGGAAAATAGCAAATGCCTGCATAATTTAGTAACCTGTATGATGTCCGACACCATTTTCTCGTATAGATTTTAAAAGGCTCAACCATTAATAAGCATTATAAATCAGTTTCTGTTTTTAATTATGGTCTTTGGGTTGAATAATTCCCCTGTCGCTCTAATCTTACACCTCCCCACTTCAATAGTGCGTTAGTCCAAAACTAATTAGTTAAAGTACAGACTAAAAGAGATTAGAAGGTTTCGTTAACATGAACTAAAGAAAAGAACTGTATAGACAACATTTGTCTGAAAATAAATTTGAAAGTCCTTCCATTATGCAAATCAAATGCCAATGAGTTGCCATTTTCCATCTTATTCTCAAAGTTCAAAAGTTACCTCAATACACTTGGTTGAGAATGGGGGAAACAGGCACCTTCAAACTTTTTTTGTAACAGTGCAGATTGGTTTGGCTTATTTGAAGGGAAATTTTGCAAATCCTATCAAAAAATTTCAGTGCTTCTACTTTTAAGCAATTCCTCTTCTAATAATTTTCCCACTGAAAGACTTGTGTGTGTGCACAAAAATGTGTATAAAGATCTCTGAGGGACTTTATTTGTAGAAATTAAATATCTACCATTCATAAAGTACATTCACACCATGGACCATGGAATACTGTTTAGCAGTTAAAATGAGTGCACTGATGAGAAAGGATTTCTAAAATAGTGTAAAAACAAAAAAACCATATGGATTCTGTATGTTGCCACTTTGGCAAAAATAAAAAGATGAGACAAGCAGGCATATTGTTTACGTACACAAATAAGCAAATAAAAATGTCTGCAGTAGAGCATGAGATAATGCTAACAGTGTTGTGAAGAAGTAAGGGGATGAAGCAGGTGTGGAAGACACTTTCTGTCCACATTGTATTGTTTGCACTTTATCATATGTACCTGTTTTAGTTCTAGAAATTTTTAATGTTATTTAACCCATAACTGTTTTTATACTTATGTAAACTCATCCATATACTTTTAAAAGCAAAACAGGGGAGGGTGAATATTGGTAAGAAGATAGCAAATTTGAAAACCACCGGTCTTAACTACCACTCTCCCACCTACCTAGTCATTTCTTCTCCCACGCTGCCATGCTTGGG